GTAGAAATAGAATAAAAGAAAAGAAAAAGGAACTAGTGTCTCTCACTAGAGACTTGACATTTTCTCATTTATCACGTTTTTCCTCTATTGTATTCATCTAAATATATATACAAATGTTTGCCATCACTTATTTCCGATGATGACGACGACGACACTGAACGTAACTCGCATATTGCGTTTTATAATTATAGAAAAACAAGATCATAAATTTTTTAGTCGATTTATTCAAATCAATATGGAATAATAACAGGGAAAAATATAAGCGTATTAATAGACCATTAAACAAAATAGCAATAAACTTTGTTTTCCAATAAATTTAACTAGTTCAATATAAAGCTTATTTGAATAGATATTATAATCACAGAATTGAGATAAATATAAACTGATATACAATTATCTAATGATTTATTTCTTGCGAATAATATAGAATTTTGTTGACACACATATTCTCGTTTGAACATAATTAAAACATAAAAAAAAAAAGAGGTTTATAGAAACATTAAATTGGAGTTCTTTTGGCATATGATGTTGCCAGATCTTTACTTATGACAGCACGATAAATTTTAAAATATACTCGTATTGATTTTGATTATGAAAGTATAGCTATAAATTGTCTTTTGTTTGTATCTCAAAGTCATGAAAGAGAGGTCAGTACGATATATATTAATAGAAAATTTTTTTTCATATCGTGTAGTCTGGAAAGTGATGGTTATTCTTTTATATTGTATAGAAAAAAATAACATTTGTCTTTCAGAATCATTGACAATAATCGAAAGAAAAGTTTCTCTTAATAGATACTCAATTGTCGAAGTGTTCTTCTATTCTTTTTTTAAAAATGATATAAATGTAAGAATGAAATCAATTTGTTGAATACATTAAATATGAATTTAACACCATAAAACAACAGTAAATTTAAAAGAAAGACACTATAAACAATCACTTCGGTCTGCTGAACTATTTTTCTCTGCAGCAACACTTCTAATTTGACTTCACAACATGTTTGCAATCATGATCGTTACTATCATAAAAAATATTCGCTATACTTTTAGCTCTTAAACTTGCCAAAAATAAAAAACATATCTATAATTTTGTTTTTATTTTATTCAATTCTTGACAGTGTAAAAATATGAAACAATTTAAAAACAACATCATTAATCGTCTTTGAGCGACAACACTTTATATCATGTCATTGATTTGTTGTCCTTGTTTTACCTAATTGAAAAATAAAATACATAGAACATTTTTTTAAACGAATGTCGATCTATTAATTATCAATAGTTTGTTTTTTTTATTTATGCAATATTTTCGAGATTACCGTCAAAAATGTTACGTTATATTTACCTTGATCTCTCTTTTTATCTATTTTAAACTTAATCCCAAAAATGACAATGATAAAAAAAAACAACTATTATCATCAGGTTTGATGTGTTCTTCTAACACATGCCTTTTATATTTTTCTTATTCTCCTATAACATTATCTACACACTAAAAAAAATAAAAACATTTCATTTATCTTCCAACAAAGAAGAGCAAAACCTAGTAACTATTCTTTCTGTTTTATTTTGTAGAATTCATCATGAGTCACCAACATGATCATGCAGCTATGATGGCTAGTACAACTCCATTGATGAACCATGACCATCATATGATGAATCATTCAACTGATACAAGTGCAGTTTCTACTGGTCATGGATTTCATATGAAAGATATGATGATGATGGCAGTGAGTATGAGTTTTTATATAAAATATAATAAAAATTCAGTAAGATGAAATCATAGATATGTTTGTAATTGAAAAACATTTTGTCGAAAGTATTTTTCTGACTACAATGGACATCTCAATCACACAATTCGAATGAGTCTACAAAAAAATGAATACATACATAATTGTACATTAGAACTAATCGAGTGCGATATCAAGTGATTTGTTTGTTATTCATATTTTGTCACATCATAGTGATATATGAAAAAGATAAGTTCTTATTATTTTGAGTATAAATTTTGCTTGTGTTTAATTACACTGCATAAATTAAATGAATGAAAGAAAGGATGAAGAAATTCTTTTTTTTTTCCTTTCATGCATTAGAAAAAAAAATATTAATGATTGCCATAGTATCTATGGAAATTTCTTGAAAAACTTCATCTGAAAAAATATCTTTCAGTTGATAAAAGTAAAAGAAAAATCATTGAAATAGAATATCCGATAATGTGATAGCTTAGTTTTTATCGATTTAGGATTTCGTATACTAAAGTTAATCAAATATATTGTCAATAAAAACAAAGCCTTGACACTTTATATACATATATATTAAGCTGTTTGATATTTAAGAAAACTTGAATAATACCTGTAGATTGATGAATGATGTCTCTAAAATTGATATATTAACTAACGATGTGTTTTTTTATGGTTGAAAAACTTTCACAAGACAATTGAATAATTTTTTCTTATGAGATAATATTTCTGGAATGTAATGCAGAAATATCTCGTCAGGCAAATGAACCTTGGTTTCTACAAATGTTATAAGATACACAACATGGTCTCTAAGGAAATCGATCATGTATGGAAGAAAAACAAACAGACTAATGATTCGTTTTTTTTTTCATTGCGAAAACAACACTCGAATAGAAATATAAGCTCGATTTCGTTTTAATTTGAGTGCAAGTATTTTATTCTGAATTTATTTATTTTTATTGTTGTTTTTTAATAGATGACTTTCCATGGTGGTTATAAAGAACAAATTTTATTTGATCAATGGAATACAAAAACAACTAGTGGTAAATATCATTCATTATATTTCATTATTACAATACAAAAAAAAACAAAATTTCTTTTCTTCAAGCATTTGTTGCCTCATGGTTTGCAGTATTCTTCTTTGCTGTACTTTATGAAGCATTAAAAACATTTCGAGATGCATTAGCTAGACGTGATATATGTGCAACATGTACTCAAACAGAAAATCGTCAACAAACAGTGTAAGTTAATTGTGTTTATTTTTATTTAAATCAAAAAAAAAACATAAATTAATGCTATTAAATATTTATCTCGCTTGATTGCTCATCAGAATTATTTAAAAAAAAAAATTTCTGCTTGAAAAAAAATTGTGATTTATAATTGCTGCTGTAGTGTTCATCCAGATGATCATCAAGAGGAAAGACCTGGGGAAAATGATTTATTATCGCCTATTAGAATTGAAAATCATCGAATCAATCGGTGAGAAATGATTGATTATCAATAGTTGTTTATTTATTATGTTTTTTTTTTGATTCATTTTATTAATAATTTGATATGATTTTTTCTTTAGAGCTCGTTTATTAAGCGCTTCACATTTAATACAAACATTGTTACATATTTTACAAATGGCATTAAGTTATTTACTAATGCTTGTAGCTATGACATTTAATATATATTTATTTTTTGCCATTGTACTTGGTGCTGGTTTAGGCCATTTTCTATTTGGTTGGCGACGTTCATCTGTTATTGATTATAATGAACATTGTCATTAAGGACAAAATGAAAACTTTATTATTATTATTTTTTTCTAATTATATATTGTACCTTTTTAATTAATTGAAACTAATATCTTCATTTTTTTTTTTTGTTGGATCAAAATTTTCCAAAGATTGATCATTGTTGAAGTATTGTAATTCATGAATGTTTTAATTGTTATTTTAATTTATAGTGATCAATTATTTATCATTGTATTATGTAGATGTTTTCATTTCATGAACAATATTTTTTTAAATAATTTGCTTTTTAACACGAAGAAACTTTGTAAATTTTTATGACAATCAGGTCTATGGTCAATGAAAAGTAAAAATGTATTAAAACAACTAGTTAATAGTAGAATATGGAAGATACAGTTTTTCGAATCATGGAAACGTCCTACCGCAGTTTTCAAATGAATAGCTCAAAGTCATTATAGAAAAGATCCATTTTAATCTAAACCAGCATTTGTTCTTCAACAGACATTCATAATGAAAAGAGAATATGTTAATTATTTTATAGTAATTTCTAATAAAATTTGGATTATATAAGATGATCACAATAGAGAATGATATGCGAATCATAACTTTAATACATATGAATCGATCGAAGGTGGGTTGGTGTTGCGATCATGGTGTCTTCCAGAACTGTAAAAGTGAGATATGAAGTTCTAAAGAGTAAATTTGATAGCAATCATTATAATAAAATATTAGACCTAATGCCAATGCAAATAATAATAAATATAATTGTATTTCACAGAAAAGGAGTGAATAATTACCTTCTTTGACTTACGCTCGTTTTCCATTGAACTTCAATTGTTTTTATTAATTTTTTTCGTTTCACTATTATCTATCATATAAATTTTTAGAATGACCAAGGTACATAAGACATAAGTCAATCTCATCAAAAGTGTTATTCAGATCAATACGAACTATTACGATATCTAAATGGTTCGGATTTAAATAAGCTGATCGAGGCTAGTCATATTTTGATATAAATATGCTAATTAAAGTTTCAATTTTTTTGAGAAATCAATTCATTAGCAGACAGATCTTTCGTAACATTTGGTTCAACTTTCATCTTAGAGAGAAGGAAAGTATTAAAAAAGCATCCAAAACAGTAGTAGTCGATCCATGTATCGTTTAACGCATGATCGTCTACGATATGTTTAAGGTAATCATTTCTTTTCAGTCAAAGACTAGCAACGTTTTCATCAGATTACTTGTGATTAGAAAAGATTTTAATAGAATACAAGCATATTTCAAAAACTATATTCAATTATTGCGTACAGATAGACATGAACATTAGAAAACGTTTATGCGAACAAGAGAAACAATGTAGAAGCCATTATTGTAGATTCATCATGCACGTAATCCATGTCTAATTTTGATTATTATATAAGAAGGACTACTAAACTCTTCTTGTAAGCAAACTTGAAAATCAATGTGTAGTTCCATATTAATGAATAAAAGTCAAAGTTAATTCTATCTAATTGTCATTCGAAAATAAATAGCTACTATACATCAAAATTTAGTTTAAATAAAAATTTATTGTCTAAATAATCAATATTTAATTGTTTTTCTTTAGGTTGTTGTAAAAACAAGGCCATTCTTATTTCTGTATCAGTTGCTATATATGATTCAGGAACATTTATTGATTGAAATGCCACCATATCCTTATTTCTTGTACCTATTAATAATTTAAATGTAGCATCTTGTTTAAATGGAATTGATTGATCATTTTTTCCTAAATTAATTCTTCTATTTTTATGACGTAGATATGTATTAGGTGCTGCTAATGATAAAAATGAGACATAAACAGTTGAAGAATCATTTTCAAATGAATTTTCATCTAAAGGATTTGTAATTAAAAATAAACTTCGATTAATTGGTGACATTGTTATTGTTGTTTGATAAGCAGATGAATCAAGTATTATTGCTGATATATAACGATTATCATCAAGTGAACGAATATAAACTTGTTTATTGAAATACATAGTACTTCGAACTAAATTAAATCGTGGATTAGATTTTGCGTTTGGAAAAACTTTCCAAAAGTGTCGAAAATTTTTAAAAAATTAGGAAATATAAAGACCTACAGTGATCTGTTTCAATTTAGTAAAAACTTACAAAGTAAAGCATGTCGAATTGTCAAATTAGCCGGTGGTTTTGTTGAATTTAGAGACGATAAAGTAAATATAAATGAATAATCTACTGGATCACCAAATGGTCGAGAATAGAAGGTTAAACGTTTAGTTGCTAATGCTTGGCAAGCATCATCACAATATGAAGGAAAGTTCAAACCAATATATAATTGAAGAACATAATCACATAGTGTTTTTGTAGATTTATATGAAGAACTAAAATAAGTATCTTTCTATCAATAAATTATCTTGTAAATAGATATGTTTGCTTGATATTCAATTTCTATTCTCTATTGATTCAAGTTGAGACACGCCATATTTAATGAAAGAGTATTTCATATTATTGAGTTTTCTTGAAATCTCAATTGATCAATTCAAAAAAAAAATTTTTTTCTAAAGAAAACTTTCGATCAATGCTTACGCATCACTTAGAAGATGTTGAGAATTCGGGAACAGATTTTTAGCGCTTTATAAACTCAGAAATAATGCTAACATCAGTCTTTTGATATTGTCAGAGCAAACTCTGAAAATCAAGCATGTTTTAATATGATCATAATAATAATTGAAGTTCCAACTTTGAAAGGAACTCGTCGATCACGCGAAATTTTCTATTAGATCTGTTAGATCGTTCTTTCAAGGAGGAGTCTTTTATTGCATGCAGGAGTTTATAACATATGTACATGTTGATGTTTCTTCGGACGAAAGGAAATATTCGACATTTTGTTTTTATCAATTATATTCGTTATTTAAACTGATCAGAAGAATATTAAATGTATTATGTTAATTGAGAGTTTTCTAAGTAAAAGAAAACAGATTGACAAGAACATTTTATTTAATGATGCAGAAATTAAAGCATCGCAATATGTGAAACAGCTGATAGAGATTGATGAAGGACGTCTTCTCAAAAAAGAAATCTTTCTTCTTGATACAACAAGTCGATGAAGAGCTACCTTAAGATTGTGAGTCAAAGTTTAGGTGCCCATGCGTTCAGAATTTCCACGCCATTTCATTTAGAGATGAGGCATATTACATTCACTTAGATATCAACAAAAATCACTTGTTAAAAAAAAAAAAACTAAAAATTGATTCATAGCCTATTTTAAGTTAGTGGTTTTTCGTGTTCAAATGTTGTATTCGTTTATTATACTTGAGGGTATGAATGTAATATGCTTAGATCTTATTCGAAAGTCAATAAAGTATAGCGCATTCGAGAGTAGGCACATTGTTCTATCTAACGAGCTATAAATTAGATCTTGTATGTTATAAATTGTTCTACACATTTTACTAACATTACTAGTGGCTGATTAGATAGAGAATATTCGATTACCTCAAAGATTTACAACATAGTACTGCAACGAGAATGACTTTAAATATAAATAAAAAGGGCCGTCTTTTTTTTTGCCTACAGTCAGAAATAATGTCTATGTTGTCGCCTCACTTGTCAAAATAGTTTAGACTAATACTAAGGAAATATTTGTGATCAATACCCTGAATTCTATTTATGGCATGTGTTTGGTCTAAAATAAAGAAAAACAGTTTTCGAGGTTCCCGAGGATTATAAAAGGTAAAAGCGTCAAAAACCTTGGTGAGAAATAAATAAGACTAAGTATGCCTTTAAGAAATATTTAAAATAGATAATTGAGTGTCTTCTATCTAAGAAATCACTAATTGTGTCATTTAAAAATGTATAGAACGTTGCACAACATGCGAGAACCAAATAAAAAATGATCTGATCAACATGACTTTTCATTAGTAAATGGTAATTTTACCCGAAAATAACAGGCTACTTTTATTTTCAAGAATATATTTGTATTGAGCATGAAAGAAGATGAATCTGCTTGTAGCACCTTTCTAGAGTAACTGTTTCACATATTGAGATGCCTTGATTTCTGCATCATTAACTAAAAAAAATACTTGAATACTCATCTGACACACAACAAGGAGGAAAAGCATTTCGATGCGTCATTGAAAGATGTAGGTGCGAAAAATTCTAATGATATGCAAAGGTGAATAAGTGTATGCTCATGTGATAGTCAATGATTGACTCATTTAACTATCAACCGTCATTTGTTTATTTTTATCTAAAAGTTTGCAAATGGAAAATTTCTACAGACGTACTTCTGTTTAATTATAGTATGGTTTTTAAGTATTGAATTAATTGAAATAATATCAATATCAAGAGTGGTATTTCGAGTAATCGTATTAAGTTTTGAATTTGTCTAAATGAAAAGAAAACGTTAATAAACAAAAGTGAAAAATTTAATTGATATTTTCTTTACTAAATATCGAAGGGATTCAATAGTTACACTTGTATTAAACATATGAATTGGTTTACATGTAGATTGAAGAATGGTGTAATCAATTCGCAGATAATATTGATAATATTGTCCTTTTGAATTTTGTCTTGGAGCTATCGATCGTTTTAGTAATCGTGATATTTTTGACTCTATTCTATTTAATTATTTGTCATTAAAATGAAAAACAAAAACAAATAAAGTCCGTTTACCTCATGACTTGAACAAAAAATGTTTTGGATGTAGATGATCCTTCATCAGTAATTGTCATAAGAGTTGATGTCAAGAACAATCCAAGACTGAAATTAAATATCGTCAACAAAAATAGATAAAACGTAATCCGTTGTCGAAAATAACGTCGACTATTAAAAATGATAAATAGCAATGAAAAAAAATTATGTAAATAATTCATGAAATTAAAATTTACCTAAACATAAATCGATATTTTTTCATAGCTTATGTTCAATAATTACAATGAATATTATTCAATCTGAAAATGTTCTATCAAGAAGAAATAAAACATTATTTTTTCGAATAGTTCATCATATGAAACAGTCTTGATCAAGCAACTCTTTATATGATGTAAGAGCTATTTTTTTTTTCATCAAATGATACATGCACGTAACAATACAAGAAGAAAATACATAAAAACGAAAAAAGCTTTCGCACTTTTTCATATAGATCGTTATTTTATTATTTTTACCTCATGTTGTCGTTGATTTTCGTTTCGATAATTACCTAGCATTTCTCTATTAAAAAAATTCTTTTATTTTTTATCTATAAAAGAAAACACATTAGAATGAATAGGGTTCCTCTACTTCTATTTTATTTCATTATAAAAACTGAAGCATGATTGATTTTGCCTTATATCAAAAAGTCTCGAAAACAAACCTCATCTGCTGTTTTATAGCAATTGAAAGTCCTGTATCATAAAATTAATGATGCTTTATTAATTGCTATATTAAGGTGTGCACATGAAGATTTGTCTCGTCACTTCAATGTCTATGTTCATCATTGATATAAATTACTTCGAATTGCTTTGCCATTCGTAAGTTTTTTCTTCTGTGAAAAAACGAACCAAAATCAAATACTTCCGATATTTTTCGGTGTATTTGAATACCTAATTTTTAGCTAAGAGTTAAAAGGATTCTTTGACTTTTGGTATGGATGGAGAGAATATCAACATTCACATATACACTCAGACCATCCTTTTCGTTCTTAGTTTAAAACGGAGTGTACAAATATATATTTAAATATCTGAAGTATTCTCAATTATGTTTGTTTTTCATGAATAAGTAAAATCATGAATGACAAAATGAAACTCGGAAGTGATTTATATCAATGACAGAAAAGATATTAATGTCATGAAAAACGTTTTCATGTGCATAACTTGGTATGCTTGCACATACGGGTATTGGTAAAGAGCAACTCCACACTCACAGTCAATTTGGATTTATTGCTGTCTGTTGAATAATAAATGAAATAATTATAAAAAAAGCACTGTAGTTTTTCGATATTTAATTCATCTCTATAGTAAGTTTGAACAAAAAATTTTTTCTAAAATTCTCATAATTAAAGTGGAATGTGACGATGTTATCCATACTCAGTTTCTATTTGTCTGAATCGCGTCTTACGTACATCGATGATGCCTATGATTGAACACGTATATAGACATGACGAATATTTCACTGAATGCGCGATTGACTTACTAGAATGAAATTAAAAAAATATTACCATTTGTCTCAGATTTGATCTGATGTCGTCGTCAGGTTTCTTTATTGATGATCTTTACTTTATCATAGACGAACTATATACCGTGAAGCCGCACTTCATCAAATTCATAATTACATGTGGCGAAGCGTCAATATCATCGACTGAAATGAGTCGAGTTCCCGAGTATCAACTTAAAAAAAATGTGCATCAGACACTATTGATCATAATTGCGTTTCCATGCATGAATTCACAATTTTGCTTTCTTTCTTAGCTATCTTCACAACTATAGTTGTCAGGTTTCGAAGGTCTGTTCTCTTAAGAGCCACACAGGTTACTTAGGTTTCTCAAAAAACTGGTCGGTAAACATTTGCGGATGCTTAAATAATCGGTCACTCATTCGCCCTCTATTATGTACATCAATTATAGTTTATCTCGCGGAGTATGCTGAGTCTGAAGCTATCAGATTCTGAAAGCACTATTCTTCGACTTTCGACTGTACACATCAATCGAAACATTATTTCAATCCCTTGCTAGTAGTACCAAAGAAAAATATTATTTGAGATGGCAGAATGCTCCATTTTTTTTATTTATTCTATTTGATCATACTTCAATTCATAACATAACAATATACTTTCGATAAGATTTGTTTCACTATGATTTGTATCTAGTCGTACAGTGCCTGTTTAGTGAATATTTTTTGAATCAATATCGATAGAAACAAAATAGAAAACAGCGATTTTTTTCGAACGAGGAAATAAATATACATCAAATCTTATATTATATGCATTTTTCTTGGATATGGTCTGATGTTTGTTTAATCATTTTTCTAAGTGTAGAGAGAATGGTTTCTTATCAAACAGGAAACCGCAATAAATTCTTTATACAAGTAGCCAGCAAAATCAATTAAAGCATCGATAAGGTTACCGGCTACTTCTGAATGATTACTTCTAAACCTCTAAGCCTTGTGCAGTTTTGTAAATCTTCTATCAGCTGTTTCAATACACATCTCACGAGTAGGTTTATTTTCAAAGAGATTGATTGAAAAACTTTTAAAAAGTTCATGTTAAAGATCTTATAATATATGACTCAATGCATATTCACCTCTTCTTTCGAGCAATGAAAACCACAGTCGTCTATTTTGTTTCTATCAAAATTTATTCAAAAAATATCCACTAAATAGACACTAGTATGACCAGGTACATATCATAGCGAAACAGAGCTTATCGAAAGTTTATTATCACGTTATTAATTGAAGTATGATCACATAGCATAGAAAAATAAAACTACTTTTGAACTGTTCTAAGTAGATATTTTCTTGAACTAGGGTGTGGTTTTTTAAACCAACTTTCCCTATTTGTTTTATGGATCGAACGAAGACTTTGTAATATGTGATATGAATAGCAATCATCATGACATGAAGTTTCTCAAGAAATTTGATTCTAATAATTCTTCGTTTAGTAGACCATCTAAAATAATGTAAAATAATAGTTTCTATGTAGAAACAAAACAAATATTTGTCTTTATTTAATGATTTACATTCTCTTTCTGTCTTTTACTGCTAATGTTTTTTGTCGTTTACGTTTCTTGCATAAAAAAGCTTCAGTATAGTAATCCTCAAGAGTATGTGTACAATGTTGTTGTTATCTATCTATCGTGATGATATTCCCTAAAGAGTTGATAATAATTTTAATAAATGCTTTTGAACTTTGATTTGATGATCTAACACATTATCCAGACATTATTTTGTTTTAGCATATGTATTTTCTTTCATTTGTTGTTTGTATTCGTTGTTGAATTAAGTCTTCATGTACAAATAATAAACATCTTTGTTCATTGTCGAGAACTTAATTATTCGAACTTGAATTAGACAGCTACTGATGAGGTGAATGTAGGGTTAGCTAGAATCAGTAATAGTTCTTGTTAAAATACTAATTTTTCATTATGTTGATATTGAAGTTTAAATTTTTCAATGGCTTTTGTTTGTAGGTGTTATTGAGATTTAGTGTTTGTTGACAAACTGACTGATAAAACTGCAATAGCAAATTTACGTGAATTAGAACACCATTTCATACCTATAACAGTTTCAATATAAAATTCACATAATGAATTAGGAATATTTTGATTTTATTTTTACGAACATTAATTATATATAACCTTGAATTCTTCGTTTTATTAAAATAATTTGCAACATAATACTCGTAAAGAAGGAAATGATTAATAATAAGTTGACACCTTTACAATATCTCATTTATCACTTGAATTTTATATTAACATTATTGTATATTTTGTTTATTTATGAATAAAATCAACACCTAATGTTGTATTTTTCCTGTTACAACAATATTTGATCAAAACACTAGAAAAATCAAGGCCATCACCAGCTCTTCGTACAGTTAAACAAGTAAATATCAAATTTTCGTTCTAAAATACGTGGGTGTGGATGTGAGTAAGAAGAAAAGCTAGACTTATATACAAACCCACACCCGCACCCACACCCACCCACACCCACACCCACACCCACACCCACACCCACACCCCACACCCACAACCACACCCCACACCCACACCCACCCACACCCACACCCCACCCACACTCCGCCCAGACCCACACCCAC